CGGCTCCTCTTCTATGGGTCGTCCCTAAACTCGGCTTTTCTGACGCCTCTGGGAAACGTAACTCTGTCTCCTTTCAAGAAAAGCTCTTGGCAAACGCAGGACATAACTGCAGTGCTGAAACATGCCAGAGATGTCAAAGAGCTTGTGGTCATGGTGGAGTTTGATATGGGATTTGGGGGGGCTCGGGTACAGCAGAGGAGCCCTCATGGCCAAGAACGCCTCTCACCAGCCAACCTGCCGTATATCTTGGTGTATGCCGACGATCGAGCTATAGATGAACCAAACAGCGTGGCCATGTCACTACAGAGGTATGGGCCTTTTCCAGCAGGGGATGACTCATCCGCCTCAACGTCAGCCTCGAGGATTCGGAGGGAGCTTCATCTACAGATCCAAACCAACGACATACCGGAGGCGCACTTCAATAACCTGAAGAACCACGAACTGTGGCAGAGCACATATTTCCCAGCAAAAGCAAAAACTGTGGTCAAAACGGGAAGAAAGCATGGCCTGGTAAGCAGCGAGGGCCTGAGCAAGCCACAAGTGCTGAGCTTTGATGAGAGGACGATGAAGAAGGCCAGGAGGAGACAGTGGAGTGAGCCCAGGGTTTGCTCCAGGCGCTACCTCAGGGTAGACTTTGCAGACATCGGCTGGAGCGAGTGGGTGTTGGCACCAAAGGCTTTTGATGCCTACTACTGCGCCGGGACCTGTGGATTCCCCATACCTAAAGTAAGACATGAAAACCTTCTTATTGTCACTCCAACCATTAGCTGATTTTTTTAAATTCAGTCAGTAGAATACTTCATTATTTTACCAAATCCACAAGTAGAAAAACTATTAAAACTATTATAAAAACATGACTTTATTTTAAGGGTTAGGAAAGTTCTCTTGTTATTTTACTAATAATCAGTCCTTTACAACTCCTTACTTCCTCAGGTGGCACGTCCTTCCAATCACGCCACTATCCAGAGCATTGTCAGAGCTGTGGGAATTGTCCCTGGTGTGCCTGAGCCATGTTGTGTTCCAGACAAAATGAGCCCCCTCAGCGTCCTTTACCTGGATCCAAGCAGGAACATGGTGCTAAAGGTTTACCCAAACATGTCTGTGGATACATGCGCCTGCCGGTAGGGCCACTGCATGAGCCGCTGGAAACTGTGATCAATGAAGATAGGAGACAATGAATACAAAGAAAGTGTAGCTTCAGCGCCTAACAGGAAGCTCGTGTCAGATGGAAGAACAGTTGTAGAGAGAAACAGTGAGAATAACTGATACATACAGAATTTTCTTCCGAGATCTTGGCCTTGTTTCGTGTCTGCCAGGATTGGACATTGCCTTAAGTATTTTTCTGCTTGTCTAACAGTGTTCATAGATGCCTTTCATCCAAGTTTATTTTCTGAAAATGCTTGGGTGCCCTTAAAGAAACACGTGTTTGTATTACTTTTAATCTACAAGTTCCTGCAAGTAGATCAAGTTCCCACTGATCCTTAAAAAGCTTTTTTATTTATTTATTTGGAGCAGTTTATCAAGTTTTTTCTCTGTTTCAGTTTTTAGAAGGATGTTGTTTTACCATCACCTTGGACTCAGACTTAACTGGACTTGGTTTGGGAATCTGCTCAGACTCCTCAAAAGAGCTCAAAAAAGGCTAATCAAATGTTCTGAACTGTGGTCAAACTGATAAGAAGAACTTTGGACACAGATGCTACATGGCAGCATATTCATATTCTCTGTTACTCAGCATTTGTCATGGAAATCATTACACACGAACATTAAGTGGTACTTAGTGAGTTTAGCCCTTTATCATGCATGAGAGGTCATATCTTCTTCAAACTATAGCTCAGCAACTATTTGTTTATATCTTGTATATAATGAGTGTATTTTGCCATATGGTGACTGTTAATGCATTGAAAGCAGGGTTAAGCCCGTTCACCAATCACACATAACCAATGCACTGCTGCCACCTGCTGTGCATTTTGTTCAGTTGAAAGGATGTCAAACTTGGATGACTTTCTGTACTTCCTGTGTTTATTCACCACTTCCTTTAAACACTAAAACATTATTTATCCATAAAGACATGTACAGTTTTTAATGTGTACAGTAATGAAAGTAGATTTCCACAGTAACTAAAGGAGATATTGCTAAACTGTAATCAAATATTAATGGGATGTGCTGATGTGTGCTTTAATAGACCACAGACTTGGTGTATGCTTGGTGTAAAAATAAACTGAATTGTACATACTGTCAAAAACACTTGTTAACGTAGGTTTTTATGTATTAAAGTATGTATACCTAACCATAACATGCAGTACTTTATACACACTGTACCTCTTGTCATGTAACATTAAATTTCATATATAAAGATGGAGGGAAAACATTTAAATTCCACTTTAGAGGAAGTGCAAAATTGTTCACCTTCATTTTATAAATACTTATTTCCTGAGGATGATAATGCTTGAATCGTATACCTTAATAATCAGCAGATGTCAGTCCAGTTTAAAACCTACTACAGACTTTGGATGAATATGCTCTCAACACTACTAACATCATCAAATGAGGAAATATATTTTGAGGTCATGGTTTCCATGTCTCCAGTAGATTTCCAGACACTTAAAGAACCAGTGCCAAAGGGTATTTGTGCTGACCTCAGACACTTTTGTGAACTTTTCCTTTAATTTCCAACTTTGCTGATGTTTTATTCAGCAAATTGGGACATTAGGTCTGATCTGTAGGTTTACTGATTTTATTTAATTTATTTAGAAAGAGGGACAATGAACATTTTAACAAATGTAAATATGCCAGATTATAGCCTTGGCTAATGTCCATCTGCAGACCCTCTGGCAGGTTACAGGTTTTTGCGTTTTTTTAAATAGTGGCAGGTTAGTGCTTTTTAGTTATGAATGCTAGTCTATATGACCTGTAAATACATTTGATTAAAAAAAGTTTTGTTTTTGTTTAGTACTTTATATAAATCGATGTGATATGTGAGTCACTATTGATGATAACCACAATCCCAGCTCCAAATCCCAACCCTGCTGTCTGGAGACAAGAAAAAAGTATTCAAAAATACATTTTATTTTATTTTATCCCCTAATTGCCAATAATTGGGAGAATAATTTTTTTTTTAAAAAGCACTTTTTGATAGCATAGTGTTACGATTAGGCTCATCACCAGTGACGACTTAAACTTCAAATTGTTAATGTAATGTATGTTTTGAAGATTCAGAGTAGCTGTCACAGGGCAGGAGTCGCTTGTATGAAGCTACAGAGAATATCACCACATAACAGAAACAAACGTAGACCTCATGGAGACTATTAAGGTCTTTAATCTAACTGTTTTTATTGCCTAAAAATGTTTTTATTCAGGTTGGAGACTGATTTGCTACCTGATGAGAAAAGAATCTGGAACAAACATGCAGCATACTGACAAATGCCTTGAAAACAAAGCTTGGGCCAAAACATATTGCTGGTATGACACATGATCAAGTCCTCACTACCCTAAAACATTTTTATTATTTCTCTTTTCTTTTCACAAGTTCATCCAACTGATCAGGTTTAGATCATATTAAAGTTTTCTCATCGTGTTTGTTTTCCTTCTGCGTGCCTACACTGTTTGCTGTACCCATGCCAGTACATTTGCTCCTCGTCTTTCATCACTGATGGACTCCATAGAGCAGACCTCTTTAGACCATGAAAGGGCCACAGCGAAACCATTTTATGAAACCCAGTGTGAACCAAGTAATAAGAGACTGAATGATTGAGAAGAAGAAGAAGAAAGAAATTCCACTATAGGTCGGATGTAAGCCAACGTCCCCAGACTCACTGGCTTGTGGTTTGGGCTCAACCAGTTCGTCACCATTCTTCCATATGCTGCTTTGCGTCTGGTTCTTCTTCGCACAGAAGAAGTGCACAACAAGAGATACAGTCACACACTTTTTTAAGATTAGTCCACAACATATAGAACTTGCCTGATATGCAATCTCTTATTTTATTTTTGTATTATCTGTACTTTTACAGTAATGCATTACTGCTATTAAATTGCTCCAAAACTTCACATAGGGTCACATCTCATTGTTAGTTTCTTTCATTTTATGGAAGAGTTTCCATTGAGACAAGAAACTCAACATAAATACATTTTGAAATCAAACACAGATTATATTATTAATATTTTATCAGTATAAATATGATTGTAGCATATATGTCTACATACTCTATCACCTCCTTAATGTTGGGACAATCTGAATGAAACAAACATAATCACACATACAGTGATTATTAATATCTATATGTTTAAAAAGAAACATCAATCCAAATTCTTTGGCTTTTCGTGTATATTATGTTAATTTCATCATCCCCCTGTGAATAGGATGTTATGCTCTCCATTGTGTTGCCTGTACATAACTTAATCACCAAAATGTGTATCCTCAGTGGACTCTGTGGGACTAGCAAAAGTTTAACATGAGTATAATGGTTGTAAATAATGGGATTATTAGGTCATTGTAAAGAACTTTTGCATTTGCAAAAACAAGTAGTGTTTGAGCAATGGGCTAGAAAACTGATGCCAGAGATGTGAAATGTGAAATATGCACACTGATAGGATTGGTTGGATCCTGCTGTCTAATTAGAAATTTCTTGACATTTTGACCACAGCACTGAAACCACGAGAGCTACAATGCTAATCTAGCTACAGATTTTAACAAGCAAGGCTGTTACGCCTTCAAGCTGACATTTTATCACTTTTTCTTTCTTTTCTTTTTCTTTTGGCTGGTTTCGTTATGAAGCCACATCCGAGTTGGGGAAAGTAATTTTATAAATGTCTGTTTTTCAGTAACCTCGCAATTTCCAGCACCCCCTTCATTATCCCTGTCAACTGTTTACAGTGTCTTCATTAGCAGACACCCCTCTAATGATAACAAAGCTTTAAAGAAGGCATCGGCTGCAGTGATAAGCATGGCCAAGCTACTATTTTAGTTGACACAAGTCCCCCTGTTTACTCTGGGAGCATGGGAGCGGACACCAGGAGTCTGATATGTGTACTGAGAATTGCCATTTTCAAAATTTGCCACAGCAAAGTCTGTTTTCGAGCAGGGGAGACGGTGAAGTTCTCACCAGTTTAGTCACATTCAAAATGCAGCTCTCCAGAAGCTCCCTGTTCCAGGTGTGTTTAAGTCTGGTGGCTACCATTGGTTCCTGCCACTGTAAACCTATCAACAATGACATCAGAAGGAACATGGAGGAACTCTACTCTCAGCTCTCAGAGGACCTTCTGGAAGAGGAAGAGACAGATTCGAGGATGGAGAACCTCCTGGGAACCATGAAGGAGGGTTTTCTGAGACAGCTCAACTTGTCAGATGTTCCTCAGGAGCACGGCAAGATCATCCCCCCTCAGTTCATGATGGAACTGTACAACAAGTATGCCTCGGACACCTCGGCAGCCCCTCAGTCTGATGTCATACGAAGCTTCACTGTGCAAGGTATCTGAATTGGATTTAACTGGACACAGCAAAAGTACACTCTGAGTTACATGTAGCTGATGGCAGAGGGACATTCATGGATCATGAAAATGAGTCTTGTTTATTCCAGTATTCCAAATCAAGAACCATATCTGGAAAAGCCACCTTGAGAAATGCACATTTGTGTTATATCTGGTTTAGATCTTTGCAGCTAACACAGGTAATACAGGTTTCCCTCTTCAGAGCTACAACTAGCTGATAAACCCACATTGCTATTTTTTTTTTGTTGTTTCTTGAAATGTTCAGCTGGGGTAATATTAACATTTCCTAGCATATATGAGCTGAAACTTCTTAGAAATAGAGAAATATTTACTTCTAAGCCCTCATCAGTGGCTTTTCCTTTGCTATTACATGATTTTATATATTCTGGTGAAGATGCAGGATGTAAAGTACCAACAAAAGTATCCCCAGATGATTTCCTTTGATTGATTAGCCAATGAGAACTACACATCAGTTTCTGTATTATGGTTACTGCCTGTGTGGTCTTTGGATCTCTAGTGGTCGTGAACTGTTTTTGGTCTCGACAGACAGATATCGAATCTATCAAATAACATAATATTGTCAATGTTAGGGTACTATTTCGGCAGAAAATGAAATAAGACTCGGATTTCACTTCTGACTGTAATAGGTACACAGTCTGTGGCCGACCATGACAATCCCTGCTGCTGTTTCAGATGTATCAGTGATCAGGGTGTTTTTTCTCTTTGACAGATTTTACTCTCTCTATGACGAATGGGACAAAGTCAAAGTACAGGCTGCAGTTCAACATCAGCATCCCCAGCCATGAAAAGATCACAACTGCTGAGCTGCAGCTTTTCTTCTTCCCAAACTTCAGGCCAAGAGTCACCTCCCACAGTTTCAAGATCATGGTTAAAGTCTACGAAGTCGATACGAACAATTTCACATCCTCGGCCCAACTGCTGGTGGGAAAAGAGGTGGCAGGCTCTCAGAGCACATGGACAACGTTTGATGTGACCACGGCTATTCAGAGCTGGATCAAGTCAGGCCCTGCACCAACTGTTTTTGACGTAGCGGTGGATATGAAAGATTGTGGGGATTCTAGAAGCGGGGCGGCAGGGGCCAGCTGTTTAAACATGAGCGTGTCCGTCGGCGATAATACCTCTGCGGCTTTGATTGTCTTCTCAAATGACCTCAGTAACAGGAGGAGGGAGATGAAGAAGGAACTAAGAGAGATGATCCTTCATGAAGAAGAAACCATCCTACATTCAGGGGCTGACTGGAACAGAGGATATCAGCTACCAAACGAGATCCCTGATTCTCAGCACCCACAGAGAACAAAAAGACGAGCACCGAGGGAATACTGCCGGCGGACCTCGCTCAAGGTCAACTTTAAAGACATTGGCTGGGACAGCTGGATCGTGGCGCCTCGGGAATATGATGCCTTTGAATGTCGCGGCCAGTGTTACCATCCACTGACGGATGAGTCATCTCCATCAAAACACGCCCTTATCCAGACGCTGATGAACATCAGGGACCCCAAGAAGGCCAACATGGCATGCTGCGTCCCAATCCAACTTGACCCCATCACAGTCATGTATCAGGAGAATGGGCGCATCACTATAAGATATCTGTATGAAGAGATGAAGGTAGCAGAGTGTGGCTGCAGGTAGTTTGCCCTTACCCTAGCAAAGGTAATGATCATCCTAAATTTAAATTTTATTCCATTTAGTTCAATGTTCAAGGATAACAGGTCATATGGCAACTTTCATGCCCTGTATTGGTCCAAAAGGTTGTAAAATATTCCAGAGTTTTTTGTTTTGTTTTGTTTTTTAAAGTCTTTTCTATTAATTCTACTGATTTTTTTTTATTGATCTGTTGATTCAACTGATATATGCACATGACTTATATGTAGAAAAAAGTTCAGTACCAAACTATGGCTTCATGTGGGAGTTAAACGCCACCCTCCCTCGTGAAAGTTCATAATAAACGCGCACCACCTGTATTTAGCTTTAAGTTCTCCATATTATTTTATTTTTACTGTGAAAAAAGCTGTGATTAGCTCTTCTAGACTAGAAGGGGTATTTCTAATCTATCATTGTGGACTAGAATTCTCTACAGCGTGAAAAGAGATGTCATACAAGATGTTGATTGTGCTAAAAATATCTCCCATCCCTAGGTTCAATTTTAGGTGAAGCTAGGAAGAAGCTAAACTTCAAGATAAGAACTTTTCTAGCAAATATTCTAAATAAATGAATACTAAGGAATAAAGAATTGCTCTAAACTATGCACCTATTTTTTGTCAGAAGTAAGGTACTATGCATAATTGATGAAAAAAAAACTGGCAATCACTTAAATTAATACCCCAATGCTAACAGCATGACAGACTTGCTGCTTTTGAGAGTTCATTGTAAGATATGCGTGACGGTTTGTCAGACCAACAGAATAGTGGAAGAGCAAAGGAAAGGGACACATTTTGCATTTATTGTATTTAATTCTCATTATGTGTACAGTAAAGGTTTTCCCTGTATGTGTGGAGTACATAATAAAAAGCATGTAAAAAGCAAAGTTAAACGAGTTTACTATTACAGGTAAAATAGGTATAATTATTGTTTGTAATAAGCTGGTGAAACATAAATTCACATATAATCACTGCTCATTTGCTGATATAACACATCTGTATATTGATATTGTAAGTATAAATTATTTATATTGATATATATCTGGTATTAGTCTGTAAATTATTAACATTACATTCATTGACAGCATAAACATGCCCACCATGGGCTACTACAGAGGGGCAGAAGTCAAAAATTGATAGGTGTGTATCTGTACTTATGATCCCTGAGAGAAAGAAATTACAGAAAAATGTATATTTAAAAGAAATAATAATTATTAGAATATTTGCTCTCAGTGTGCAGATTTTTACTCTCCTATATGTAGCATGATGTCATCATTTTGTTTCTAAGGCATTCCAACCCTGAAATTAATAAAAAATTCTTGGGCTCTTCTCAGCCAGAAGTCTCCTTTTTGACTTACTCACCTCCTCACCTGTTATTGATATTTATGGCCAATAAATGAAATGCTGTGAGTGTCAACAGGGCACAGTTTGTCCACTAGAGGGCACTCTGCCACTTCCCTTTTGGCAACATCCGTGAGTCTGGAAAACCACAAGCACATTAACCAGCTGACCTGACCATAGCTGTCCAGAGCATGAATTAATTAATATGTTCCTAAAACAACTGTAAACAAATACATATAACAAATCAGGGAAATCTGTCTTTTACATGCATATGAAAGGAAAAAACAGCCAAAATATCAGATTTTTAATCATTAAATATCACCGTTGCTCCTAAAAATCCGATATCAATTGGACTCAAAACACAAGATACAGTTGGGGAGACTGGCTGATCCACAAAGACGATTATTCATTAGGTACTGAAACAGCTGCTATACAGTGGAAGACTAATAAGATGATTAGAGGCAGGTGATGAAATAAGAAATATCACAGTTATTCACATTGTGCAATGCTGACTTTTTATTGCACAGAGTAATAGCGTTACAAAAAAGCCTGTATAACGTCTCCATGAATGCTATTTTCCAAAAGTCCACAAATTATAGAAAACAACAAAGAGAAAGAGAAAGTGAGAAAATCGTGGAAAAATGACTGTATAAACTAATGACTATGTGGAAAAAACAATTAGTTATCCCCCTTACACACACTCATCATACAGTAATCTATACTGTCAGCTGTGTAAATATTAAATGTCAGTGACATAGTCTTATCTGAGTTTGACCCACCATGTTGAAATCAATGAGGGGACAAGTTTGTGCAAACACTTCCATGTCCTGTAGCACTAAACTGATCTTGTTTTAAAATAACATCAGTGTCGGGGTCAGAATTCCTGTTTCCTGAGAACCAAGGAAAAAGCTCCATTAGTTTTTTGCTTCATAACAGTGTGTTCCTTCAATCACCAACAGCATGGGACAACAGAGCCTTTAAGTCTCTGCTTCTACTGTTTAATATTATCATTTAAAAACAGCGATTAGAACAGCCACGAAAGGCAACATGAAATGGACACTGATGATTCTTGTGTTTGTTCATTCCTGAATGTGTGTTGGGAACTCAGCTCTAAATCTTGCTGACATTAATACGTTTTGTTGCGTGACTATCACAGCTAACATCTTAACTCTTACACCACTTCATTTCTACAGTCTACTTTCTGAATCAGTTCTGAATCAATGTTAACCCTAAGGTATTTTATTATCAGCGAAAATGATATAATCTGTTCTTTTATTTGACACAAAGTGACAACATCAGGAAGTATTCAGTGTTTCGAAGTTCTCGATAAGCACCCTGGGAATTGGATGAGACTGGAATTTGTTATGTAAGGTATGAGGCCATAATAAAGGCTAAGACGTTAAGATTAGCAAGTCTAGTATTTGGAATAAGCTCATGTCTGGCACTATTAGTTGTGAGCTGGTCTTATGATGTCTTGCTGTTTAAATCTGAGTAAACGATGGAAACTTACCAGCTATCAATTTTCTATTATATCCAAACTTGTCCTTGTTGTGAAAATAAGGCATTCAATAGACATAAAAACTTTCCACTCAACTGTTTGTTCCTTAATTCAAAGTGTGTGTGTTACACACACTTTGAATTAAGGAACTTGTTACCCAGTTCTTATCCTGGATGTGTTTTAAGAAGGCTTTGTCTGTAAACTGTGTAATCATGTCACCAGTGAAATGACCCAGACATGACCCACTAAAGCTACCAACAGCACCAAAATACACCACCATCAGCTTTCGTAACAGGCAAGGAAGAAAGAGATAAAAAGGAGTGGGAGTGTTTCAGTTGGGGCTTTGGCACAAATCAGTGCAGCCTCATTTATCACCTTTTTTCCACGGGGAGAATTTGGTAAATGATGCAGACTGTAATAGAAAAATAAGTAGAAAAATAATAAACAGTAAACTGTCTTTCAGTTACAAGTGTTAAAACTAGAGGTACCAGAACCCAAACCTCTATTACATTTGTGTCAAAAACAGTGAGAAACTGTACCTCCCATTTATCATTTTTCATTCTGTCTGCTATCGTCTGCAGGCTGAAGCACTACATATAATGCGATTAAAGGTTTATTGTAGACAAAAGCCTCTTATGTTGATGTTGCTGCCCGAAAAACCTTTGACAATGACATATTCCTTCCAGTGAAATCCACAGTCTCTGAACACAAATCAACTAACACAACCCAGAAAAAGCAAAGACGGAGGTGGTTCTCTTTCTATCAGCGTTGATGAAGATATTAGAGATGGCGCATACGACAGTGCCACTTCTGTTGATGTTTTTTCTATCTACTCTATCCAGCAACTCGTCATTCCAGCCTGCTCTAGTATTAGAAATGGCCAAGATTCTTTTGGAAAACTACTGCTTCCCTGAGAACCTGGTTGGGATGCAAGAGGCCATCCAACAAGCTATCAACAGTGGAGAAATCCTGCAGATTTCAGATAGGAAGACCCTGGCAACTGTGCTCACAGCTGGAGTACAAGGAGCATTGAATGATCCTCGGTTGACCATTTCCTATGAGCCTAATTTTGTCCCAGTGATGCCACCAACTCTGTCATCTCTTCCAAAAGAACAGCTGATCCGGCTGGTGAAAAGCTCTGTCAAGGCGGATATCTTGGAAAACAATGTTGGCTATCTACGGATAGATCGGATCATTGGGGAGGAAACAGCAGTAAAGTTTGGCTCGCAGCTCATGGGAAATATCTGGGATAATATTGCTCACACATCCTCACTAATCTTTGACCTAAGGTACAGCACAGCTGGAGAGCTCTCTGGAGTTCCTTTTATTATCTCCTATTTCTCAGACCCTGAATCCGTTATTCATATTGACACTGTATATGACAGGCCTTCAAATTCAACCAGGGAACTATGGACCATCCCATCTATAGTGGGGGAAAGGTATGGAAAGAAAAAAGATGTCATTATTTTGACCAGTAGATCCACAACGGGGGCTGCTGAGGCAGTGGCGTATGCTCTAAAAAACCTAAGGAGGGCCACCACAGTTGGAGAAAAGTCTGCTGGTGGGTCGGTGAAAGTCCAAAAAATAAGGATTGCTCAGTCGAAGTTCTACATAACAGTTCCTGTGGCAAGATCTGTCAGTCCAATTACAGGTCAGAGCTGGGAGGTCACTGGTGTTTCTCCAAATGTCCACATCATTGCCAAGGACGCTGTTGCAAAAGCCAAATCACTTCTGGCTATAAGGAATTCTATTCCAAAAGTTGTCCAAAGAATCTCTGACAAAATCGACCGGTTCTACACGTTTACTGAAAGAGTTCCAGCTCTTCTTCAATTCTTGGAATCTACAGACTTCGTGTCTGTCATATCTGAAGAGGGTCTAGCAATCAGACTCAACCAAGTGCTCCAGACTGTGTCTGAAGATCCCAGACTGACAATCAAATACATGCCAGAATATGCAGCCAATGTAGAGGAAGGCCATGAACATGAGAAAGTTCCAGACGAACCTGGACTATTAACGGAATACATTGATACATTGCTCAAAGTGGAAATTCTCCCAGGCAACACTGGTTATGTCCGCTTTGACAGGTTTGTCAAGTCATCTGCTGAATTAGAAGAGGTCATGGCTAAAAAGGTATGGGTACCCCTCAAAGATACTGCTAACTTGATTATTGATTTGCGCTATAACACCGGTGGATCCTCTACCTCTCTAGCCATTATTTTGTCTTATCTACAGGACACATCACAGAAGCAACACTTTTTTACAATATATGACCGAACTCAGAATAGTACAACAGAACACAACACTTTGCCTAAAATTACAGGACCAGCGTATAGCTCAAAGCGGGAGATTTACGTGTTAACCAGTTATTACACAGCAAGTGTTGGCGAAGAGTTTGCTTATCTGATACAGTCATTACATCGTGGCACAGTCATTGGGGAAATAACATCTGGTACCCTGATGCACTCAAAGACCTTTAAAATAGAGGGGACCAATATTGCCATCACTGTTCCTTTCATAAACTTTATCGACAACAACGGAGAATTCTGGCTGGGAGGTGGGGTGGTACCTGATGCCATTGTGCTTGCTGAAGAAGCAGTGGACCATGTTCATGAGATTGCTGAATTTCACAAAGGACTAAATTCCCTCATACAAGGAGCTGGAGATTTGTTAGAAGATCACTACGCAATCCATGAAGTCGCGCTAAAGGTTAGCAAGGTGCTGGTAAGTAAATGGGCTGACGGATTATACCGCTCGGTGGTTGACTTTGAGTCTTTGGCATCACAGCTGACAGCAGATCTCCAAGAGACTTCAGGTGATCACCGACTGCATGTTTTCCACTGTGAGGTTGAGCCTGAGTCACTTCATGAACTCTCAAAGATTCCTACAGCAGAGGAAGTGGGCTATATAATTGATGCTCTTTTTAAAATTGAGCTTCTACCAGGTAACATTGGCTATTTAAGGTTTGATATGATGGCAGACATAGAAGTGGTAAAAGCCATCGGGCCGCATCTCATAAAATCTGTTTGGAGCAAGATAATAAATACAGATGCCCTCATAATTGATATGAGGTACAACAGTGGTGGTTATTCAACCGCGATTCCACTTTTGTGTAGTTATTTCTTTGATGCAGAACCTCTACACCATCTTTACTCTGTTTTTGACCGAACAACAACCACAATGACAGAAGTCATGACAATTCCACAGGTGAGAGGTCAAAGATACGGATCCTCCAAGGAACTATTCATCTTGACCAGTCATATGACTGGGTCAGCAGCCGAAGTATTCACTTGCACAATGAAGGACCTAAATCGGGCCACAATTGTTGGCGAGCCAACAACTGGTGGGTCTTTATCAAGTAGAACCTATCAGATCAGAGACACTGTCCTGTATGCCTCCATTCCTAACCAAGCTGTTTTTAGTGCCATCACTGGAAAAATGTGGAGCTTTTCTGGGGTTGAGCCCCATATTGCTGTCCAGGCAAATGAGGCTCTATCTGTAGCTCAGAAAATCCTAGAGTCAAGGTTGCTGAAGAGAGTGCAAGGTAAACAATAAAAATGCGACTAAAATGACTAGTTAATTAGTTTTTCTGCTTAGGCACCACTTCAATGTAAATGTGTGTGTTGTTGTGTTCCATGTGTAGCATGTGTGGCCTTGTAATTAGATGTTTTGTTTTTTATTTAATTTCTTTGGCTCTGACAGCAAAGTGCAGGGATGGCTCAATAGGTAGAGTGTTTGCCCCATGCACGCAAGGTTGCAGGTTCAAATCCACCAAATGGTCTCCACACACTCCTCCTCGGTTGCTAGATTGGTAGCTACCTACTGAATGAATGGGCATGCTCGCTCACTGAGCTAAACTGGCACCTAAAGTAATTTTATTTTAAGTCATGGGTGTCAAACTCATTTTAGTCAATGGGTACTTTCCTCAGATTGATTTTAGATCCAAAATTGTGGGTCAACTCAATGAAGACAGTGGTTTTAGAGAATCTTGAAACTCATGGGGACCTTGATACTTTCAAAAGAACTGTCTGTGTTTCCAGCACTTTTCCCTATGTTCCCACAGATGCAGGCACCTGTTGGTCTTTAAAACAGTCAATAAGTAAAATAGCATAGGAGTGATCTTATATGCAGCACAAAAGGATCAGAGATCATTCAGAGGTCAGATCTTGCAAGAACAAGCAACTGCAATATAACAGAACAGTCTAAAGATCAAAAAGGGGTAAAGAAACAAGTATATGCTGGAAAGCTTCACATTTAGCACACTGTTCATTTACAAAACTGATGAACAGATTTGTCTCAGTTTCTCAACATTTCTTCAGCTCACTTTTATTACATGCATTGAAAATCACTGGATTTTTAAAGATCCAGCCCTCAAATAATATTACAGTACACTACAATAAAACTATAATAAAATTAAACTTTTTCCATACATTTTCACTCCTGTTCAGTTAAGCTTGCTTAATCACAAGAAGATTTTATTTAAAAATTAGAAACTTTAATTAATTCTCTGCTGTTTTCACAATTGATATTGCAAAGATATTCAGTGGGACAGAGTTGACCAAATGGTATGTTTGACACCCTGATTTAAAGGCAGTGTTTTTTAGTAGTTTAACAAAGAAGGTCTTCTATTATACCAAACTGTCATCAGTTGTTGGTTTGTTTTATATTTTTTTGGCATTAGGCTTCACGTAATCTAGTCTTTTTACTTTTTTCGAAGGCCTTTCTACAGGAACTCAACTTCACTTCAATATGAAATTTTAAGCTCCAAGAGCACTTGCTTGTTATTCCATTTAGAGAGACTTTGAGTAACTAAGTAGCATGAATTAGTATTTGATCTTATTACAGAAGGGAATGTATAAGCTGTGGACATTTTAACTGTGAAAAGCATGTGATAGTTGATGATTCCTTTACAATACATTTGCCCCATTTAAGTGTGAATATTGTGTAAGTAAAACAACTTCCAGTTATTCATAATATAGGAAAGGTTTTCGTATTTTTTCTTTCTTCTTTACTTGTTTTCTCTGTGTTACTCTTTAAAATGATCACATTTTAAATTATATGTAAAATAATGTGGATATTCTTTCGACCCTGTCACGTGAAATCCCTTTTTGTTTTTTGTTTGAGTTTGCCTACTTGTTTTAGTGTACTTTTGCTTAGTTTACTGTAATAATGCTCTATTTTTTATTTTTATTTTTTTGTTTTGGTCTTTAACAAAAGAACAGTCCAGCAGAGGGAGCAAGTACCAAGCAAACAAACCTAAACCAGATCTCCCTCTTTAGTTTTCATTTGTGATGCTTTGCTGTTAAATGTGTATAATTTCTAAAAATAATAAAGACTTAGGTGTTTCTCAGTTATTGATGGAACATTATTGATGGTGTATTCGGCATTTGCTGGGTTTTTAATGTTTTTACAGTTATTCTCCATTTCCATTGTTTTCCTTCTTCAAATATTATGTAAGATTTAAGATATAATGTTGACCCCCATTTGTATATTGTATTTGCAGGTAGTGACTTCCCCAGGTCATATCTTCACTACCCTTAATGCCTTTCTTGACCTTTATCAATTATAAAACTGACCTTATTTGACACAGGAACCTTTCACTCCAGGATACATTGCGTAACTCTAGCACCAGTATCTTTAGCAGCACCTTGTATTACTACATCTACTTAGCTAGGTTGTTATTACCTTGCAGAAGCACTCAGGATAATGCGATTAGAGGTTTAATGTGGGATAAATCCTCTTATGAGTGTACTAACCAGAAACCTTGCAGCCAAAACAGTGCCATTTGACAGAAGACCTCTTTGGGGAAAGAGGTTTGGTTCAACAACGTGCGTTTTGTGTCTGCTCGCTTTTTTGTCAGGCTGAACTGGCAAAAAATGGCAAAGACTCTCGTTCTGGTTGCATCTCTGCTAATTTTGGGAAATGTTTTCTTTAGCCATGCCTCCTTTTCCCCCAGTGTCATCGTAGACATAGCAACAATCATCTTGAACAATTACTGCTCACCAGAGAAGCTGGTGGGGATGAAGGAGGCAATCGAAGCAGCCAGCAGCAACACGGGTATTCTCAACATGCCAGATGCCGAAACTCTGGCGAATGTCCTCAGCAGTGGGGTTCAGCACACAGTCAGTGACCCACGCCTGAAGGTCTCCTATGAGCCAAACTACGCTCCTGCAGTTCCCCCAAAGTTGCCTCCCCTGCCCCCTGAGCAGCTCATCGCAGTCATCCAGAACTCCATGAAGCTTGATATCCTGGAGGGCAACATTGGCTATCTGAGGATTGATCACATCCTTGGAGAAGAGGCAGCTGAAAAGGTTGGTCCTTTGCTTCTAGACCTTGTCTGGAGTAAAATCTTGCCTACATCTGCCCTGATCTTTGACTTGCGCTACACTGGCAGTGGGGAAGTCACTGGGATCCCCTACATTGTGTCTTACTTCACCGAAGCTGAGCCTCTGATTCACATTGACAGCATTTATGACCGTCCCTCGAACACCACCACTCCATTTTTTACTATGCCGGATCTGCTTGGGCAGAGATATGGTGCAACTAAATCCATCATTGTCCTAACCAGCAAAAACACCAAGGGCATTGCCGAAGATGTTGCCTACTGTCTTCAGAATCTGAAAAGGGCCACCATTGTTGGTGAGAAGACAGCGGGAGGCTCGGTGAAAACTGATAAATTTAAAGCTGGTGATTCTGACTTCTATGTCACTGTACCAACTGCTAAGTCTATCAACCCCGTTACTGGCTCCACTTGGGAGGTCACAGGTGTCACCCCAGATGTGGAGGTAAATGCTGAGGATGCCCTTGCTACCGCTATCAAGATCATCAACCTCCGTGCCCAAGTTCCAGCAATCATTGAGGGATCAGCAACCCTGATCGCTGACAACTATGCCTTTGAAAATATTGGGTCAGATGTTGCAGCAAAGCTCAAAGAGCAGCTGGAAAGTGGCACGTACAATATGGTTGTCTCCAAGCAGAGTTTGGAATCGAAGTTGTCTGCTGATCTGCAGACCCTTTCTGGGGACAAGAGCCTGAAGACCACCAGCAACACTCCAGCCCTACCACCAATGGTAAGACACTCAGACTTGAGGTTGTTATTTTGTTTCAGTTTGATGGACAAAAGTTCCTGTTAAGCAAATGAACTGGTGAGCTATTTAAAATATAATGCAAAATATTGGTCACAATTATGATACATGTTAAGTTGGTGCCTGTTGATTTCCACAGGATTATACCCCAGAAATGTACATTGAACTGATCAAAGTCTCCTTCCATACTGACGTATTTGAAAACAACATCGGCTATCTGCGTTTTGACATGTTTGGAGACTTTGAGGAGGTGAAGCCTATTGCCCAGGTTATTGTTGAACATGTCTGGAACAAAGTTCTCAACACTAATGCTTTGATCGTTGACCTCAGGTGAGTAATATTACTCGACATGACAGTCCAAGTTTCTATTAAAAACGTTCCTTGTGTCTACATCAGTCATTAAAGCTGCTATAGCTCAACAGTCTAGCTCTTAATAAAGTGCATTTGATCATTATTGAAGAATGTAGAATGCTTTTTCCTCAAATCGTCAGGTTGATGTCCAGAGATAGCCTAATGTGGGTTGACATCCATCAATAAAAAGAAATCACAAATGACCATTAAATTTAACTAAGAATCAAACCTTTCCATGAATGAATTTGCAGGAACAATCTTGGGGGGCCAACAACAGCTATCGCAGGCTTCTGTTCCTACTTTTTTGACGCGGACAAGCAGATTGTGTTGGACAAGCTTTACGACAGATCATCTGGAACCATCACAGAGCTCCAAACTCTGCAGGAACTCACCGGTAGTTAAAAAAAAATCCAGTCTGTGTATTTTTTTGAATATGTGCAATAGATTTCAGTAGAAGACAGATGTTTCAATAAGAATCTGGTAAAGATTCAAAACCAGAGCTGAAACGAGACGTTCATCTGGTATCCAGAAACTTGTCTCCAAATTGTTCCCATTGCTTCATATATATATATTATTTATATATTCATTTATTTATATATATATTTATATTTGCAAGTCTGATGAAACAGTGATACGCAGATTTATGAACAGACAAAAAGGCACCTTTGCTTTTTAATACGAACAGACCAGCTGGCCCTGTGCTGGAGGTTGTAATGCTTTCTGAATTTAATACCAGTCTTTCAAAGTTATCTGCAGGGCAGCTGTGGTTAGAATATATCAAACTATTTTCTCATCTGTACCCTCACCTGGAACCCCACGATATAATCCAGCCTCTCTGGCATACAGTTATCCATATCCCTTTTCTACCAGCTTGTTATCATGCTCAAACTTAATCCTTTCCATTATTCAGAAATAACTTACTTCCCTTGTTTACTTGACTTTCAGCCATATCTCTATCTACCTTTCTCCTATTCAGGTGTACGGTATGGCTCCAAGAAAAGCGTAATCATCCTGACCAGTGGAGCTACTGCTGGTGCTGCAGAAGAGTTTGTTTACATCATGAAGAAGCTGGGCCGCGCCATGATCATTGGCGAAACTACAGCTGGGGCGTCCCACCCACCCAAGACCTTCCAGGTCGGCGAGACCGATATCTTCCTCAGCATCCCCACTGTTCACTCCGACAATTCTGCAGGGCCAGCCTGGGAGGGAGCCGGCATTGCACCTCACATTCCCGTCCCAGCTGATGCTGCCCTCGACACCGCCAAAGGCATATTCAACAAGCACCGTTAAAGAAACCAAGTCCTGAACAAAGTCATGGGGGACACAATCACCTCTTTGTTTTGGCAGCCAAATAATCTCAAGAGTCTAGACTTGTTTAAGAAGTGAACAACATAGGTTTGTTGCTCATAACTAAGCCTTTTTAGTCTGTTCTTAAAGTAGAGGAAAGTTTTCTGTAGTTTTCATTTCTGTCAAATATTACTGTGCTGAGGTGGTTGAGAATGAATGGCTCTCAAAAGCCTATGCAGTTCTTTGTGAAGTTAGTGTTTGTCAAAGACGTCTGGAAAAAACATCAACAAAACTTTGCAAAATTATAATTAGGAGCTCTGTATAATAATCAATTTGTTACTCTGATGAAGAAACTATCACATGTGATGTTCTTACTGTGGATACAACATGCATCGTTTTTCCACTATGTAGTGAACTTCGTGCCATGTGAACATTTCTGGGTTTTATCAGACACAATAAAAAACAAACTGAAATATATGACGGAGAGTGTTGTGCTCATTTTTTAAAGCATGGTAAAATGGTAAATGGCCTGTATTTATATAGCACTTTTCTAGTCCCTAAGGACCCCAAAGCGCTTTACATATCCAGTCATCCACCCATTCACACACACTGGTGATAGCAAGCTACATTGTAGCCACAGCCACCCTGGGGCGCACTGACAGAGGCGAGGCTGCCGGACACTGGCGCCACCAGGCCCTCTGACCACCACCAGTAGGCAAACATGGGGTGAAGTGTCTTGCCCAAGGACACAACGACCGAGACTGTCCAAGCTGGGGCTCGAACCGGCAACCTTCCGATTACAAGGCGAACTCCCAACTCTTGAGCCACGATCGCCCCTTGGATAGCATGACATAAGATAAAATGTTTTTTCATCACTACAAAAGTTATTTCATTATTTTAACAGTATATTTGGTTTATTTTTGTATAAAATGCAAGATTTACAGATTAAGGGAGAAAGAAGACTTTACTTGATGTGCAGATGGTGTTCAGTAGGTAGAGTGGTGGCTCCATGATCGGAAGGTCGGGGGTTCGAATCCAGTGAACGGCTACCCCGAGGTACCCCTGAGCAAGGTACCGTCCCTACACACTGCTCCCGGGCGCTTGATTGGTGGCTGCCCACTGCTTCACTGAGTGAATGGGTTAACTGCAGAGAGGAATTTCCCCACGGGGATCAATAAAGTATACATTACATGATGTTTAGCTCTGCAGAGCAATGCACATTTAGTTCAAGGGATGATGTGCAGTTTTTCAGATGGTGTGTTTTTTTTCTTCAGTGATATTTCAGTTGGGAAGATTACACCATGTTATGTGAGAAACTGAAGAACTATGTTTGCCTTGGATAGATAAGTGAGCACATGTTTTGAGCCTGGGGCCACGGGATTAATGGAAAAAAGGGAGAGTGTCCAAGTGATGCAACAAGGCTGCTGTTTACTTTTCAGGAATCTATTTTTCTGCCTGGTTTTTGTACAAGTGACAGCATAATAGATCACAGCAAATATGGCTTTGGAAGAGGAAATATGAAAAGAGCCAGAAAACTAGGACTTTTTCCTGGCAATTACTACAAAAATCAGTGTAGAAAGTAAGCTGAAAGAACAAAACAACTAGATTAGATTTTGTCGGATTTTGTTAGCTGCACTCAGCCTGAGCTGTCCTTCTGATGTACTCATTTCGAACTCTGTCCATTCTGGTCATTCTTAGCATCTCCAGCTTGGCCTCGTGTATTTTGGACAGCACCACCATCATCAAACCAGACATCATAGCAGGTGTACCATCCATCTTGTAAATCTTGCCGTCCACTCTTACTGCTATCCTCCTGTCGCAAATCACTCCTGACACTTGTTTTGACCCACTCCACCCTGCCTGCATGCTCTTCTTCACTTCTCTCATGCACTGTCAGTTGATTTGGATAGTTGATCCCAGGTATTTCCACTCATCTACCTTCACTAACTCTACTCCTTTCAGCTTCACAGTTACATCTCTCTTCCTGTTTTCTGTCCTGTTTCTATTAACTGTCATTTCTCATTTCTTTCAGATGTTATTTGTTCAAGATGTTATCAGGGTAGCAGCTGATTTTGTCAGTCTTTCCTGGCATACACTTTTGTGTGTCAAAAACCCTTTGGTCATATTGGTATTTTGGAGCAACAAATGACCATATTTGATCATAGAGTGAATGATTACCTATTAGCTAATGAAAGCTCAAATGACAAGATGCATTCAAGCTCCAAAACTCAAAGAAAAGCTAAACAGGTTATTTATTCAAAACAAACCAAACCAAAGCAAAACACACATTTAAAAATAGGACGCCATAATTTCTAATTAAGTCATCATTTAAGTGTATTCATGGCTGTTCAAAATAATCGTACACCTATTTCTAAAAACATATTTTAGAAGAAAGAGATTACCTCATGTGATTGATGTATGGCAGCACTCACACTTCATGTGAGGGTTTGCTTTACTCTTTAAATGTGCCCTTCACCATATCTGCCACACTCATTACAGTCTTTGCTTCACTGAGTTGTAATTACAGTGGATATTGCTGCTTATAGTTAACCATCAGCAGCATGCTGAAAGTAAACGAACAAATGAGGACAAAGTGCTAAAATGCTAGGCTCGATAAATAAACGCGCTGGTGTGGCTTGAGGACGCAGTGCCACAGTGAAGTTCATATACCTTGTATAATTGTAATGATATAAATTGTTGTCACCCATGCGCCGGTCTGCCACGTGAGGGAGGCGCAAAATGGGATCTTGAGCCATTTTTTTCTTCTTTTTTTTTCTTTTTGCCTCCCTTCCTCTCTCCTCCTCAAGATGAAATTTGAAACCTGGGCCATTTCAGCCAAGTCTGTCCCCCGGGCTCTCAGTTCCTCCGGCTTCAAACACAGCTCTGCATCACCCAGCTCCATTTGGCTTCTTTAGAACTAAATCACTTTTGACACACTGACAGGAAAATATTATCCGTTTTTACGAACCACCCATTCAATTAACTTTTTATTTTTTGCAGGGTTTTTTTTCTTTTCTCTTTCTTTTTTTTGCCTGTCAGTTGCATGTGGATTCAAAACTATCCGAAAAAGAGCCTGAAGACCACCAGCATTAAAAAAAATAAATAAACCTCTCTGAGTCAAAACACTTCTCCTGCTGCAATCAGGCCGGGATGCGGGTGGTCCTGATTGTACACTGATCTCAAAATAGTTGAATCATCACCGGCATCCTTTCTTTTGTCTCGGTAGCATCCCTGTCTCTCCACTTATATTGTTTGTGGGATGTAAAGACCCGCTGAAGTACTTTGGCTTGTTTTGGCATTTTTTCCCCCTCTCCATAAAGGAATTACGCTGTTTCGCCGGGAGGAGAGATTATGGCAAGATTTTTGTTGAACATAAGTCTCGTTTTGGTTTTGTTCGGATTATTTTTGCTCTCTTTTCCATCTGCAAGAGCCGAGCCGGGGTTGCTGGATGAAGAGGAGGAGGAGAGCTCCTGCCAGGGTGCTTTTGACCTGTACTTCGTGCTTGATAAGTAAGTGGAGGTTGTTAGCAATACACCACAAATAAGCTAACTTTTTGTTGTTGTCAGAGGTTTTTTATTATTATTATTATATTTTAATATTCTTTTGAAGCATGTCATTCTCAAAGTGTGAACAAACTAGCCGCCGCTGTTTTAAGGAAAGGGGAATGATAGAAAAGTTTAACTTTTGACATAAAAAAAGACTGAAAAAAGAAAAAAAAAGTCGGGCTCGAGAGCTTGCAGCCGATTAGCATCTGCGCGTGTGTGCGCGCGCGTGATGACGTTGGAGAGGAGGCTGACTGTCAGAGTTCAGGCTGCTGAATAAGCGAAAACACCGAGTGGGGTTTTGGAAGCAAATCCCGCGATATATGTTGGCTTAAATTGTTTAACCCTCGTCTTCTATATCTGGCAATTCGTTTTTATAAAGAAATACAACTTTTTAAGCAGTTTCCTTTATTCCCATCCATTCCGAAGGGATTTTTTTTTAATGTGACTGCTCACCGTTCGCTCTTTCATTTCCACTCTGTACGCCCACATAGGAAAAATGTTGTGGTTAAGTGACATCTTTGAACTGGACTTCAACAGCTGGAGAGAAAATAAAATGTCAGAGAAACTTCTGGAGTGCCTGCCCTCTCTCCTGCTCGCTATTTTCTAACATGTCATTTTTTCTGCATTTACTTTGAAGACATGAACATGACTGTGATTCAGTTATATTCAGTTTATTTTAGAGCACAAATGGTACAAATGTTGTGGAGAATCTGTTTAAAGCAGTGATGCTGCTCTCATGTTTTGACTGCCAGCAGTTATCTTGAGATAATCTTACTATGATTAAAAAACATTTAACCAGCAGCACCTACAATCTAATTTGCGAACATGAACCAGTGCCAGAAATGGGAGGGGAAAGAAGAGGAGACAGGAAACAACAACATTTATGGATAATGTGGTATTAATTTGGTGAAGGAAATGTTGCACACAGCACCTTTTTTTTTTTGGTGGGGAGGGGGGGCTTCATGGCATCTCCGTTGCCATTGGCTTTTTCCAGAGGGGAAAAAAAGACTCCATATGTAAAGACGGTAAAAGGGTCTTCCTATGTCCATTGAAGTTTACAGAATCTTAGTAAGGCTTAGTTTTTTCCTGGAACTCAGTCCCAAGAAAACACATGCAAAGACACACACATACACACACACGCAAAACACAGGACTGCTTCCCAGATGTGGACGGCTGTGTTCGTCTTGTGCTGTGAGGTAAACACTGACACATGCTGCAAATAAAGAATCTGCTCATTTTTTCTGTGTGTCTGATGCTATTGTTAGCACTCTTGCGTGCTGCGGTGCCCACTCCAAGGTTGACTAACAAGTCATCATTTGCGGACTTCAAACGAGAGGAAGCTCATTAGAGACCGGTGTCGGCCTCCTACAGCCGTCACTCACCACCGATCCCTGAGGCCTCAGCTGGCTTTATGAGACACAGTCTCAACCCTGTGCCCTGGTTTATCTTAATGAAAGGTGAAATCATTTAGCTTATTAATACATAAGCGCTGTAGTCATTCTCGTTTTTTTAAATATGTGAGGCAACACTGGGTGCAAAGTTGTGTGTTTCATTCTTTTTGAAGTGTTAAGTTGCTTTATAGTAAGATCAAGCCAGATTCACAGATTTCAACTCTGTTGTTTTTCACTTTTTAAAGATCAGTTTTAAAGCTTCAAGCTGTGCTAGTGGAGCTCTGAGGCTCTAGTTAAGCAGAGCCATACTTTGAGTTAAATCCTCACAAAGACATTGCTAACATGTTGGTGTTTAGCAAGTAAATGTTAGTGTTTATACCCTAAACACACAGTACAGTTTAGGTTCTTCTGTTTCAGTCCTCACCATCGTGATGGACAGACTAACCACCTGATCGATCGACTGCAGATCAAATTGGTAGTTTGTAGAAAATTCGATGGATCAGTTTAAATGTAGAAAAAGGGATGCATGTTGTAAGTGGAG